CTGCTTCATCGTCATGCTTAACAGTGATGGCTGTATGTTTAATAGAACAATTTTTAAGTTTGTCCAATATTTCTTTGTAAGCAGGAGAAATAGGTTTTTGAACAACTTCTCTGTACGTGTACTCCGAATCCTCATTTAGCTTTACATAAGTAAGAAATCGGTTACATTAATTTTATATTCATCAAATAGAGCTATTTTTGTCTCAATACTCACATTCAAACTGTACGACATATCCGAATCGAAGCCTCTTAGATCACCGCACACAACAAACGGTATAAGTTTTTGATTTACTTTCGAGTCGGTTGCATTAACTATCATTTGCACATCGTCGACCATAGGATTGATCATTTGTGGAATGTAGCCATCTGGACATCGATAGTTTTGGCACACGACGAACGCTTCAATACTAGAATTACGCGAGCTTGCAGGTTTGGCAATTGATACTTTCTCGAAGAATATGCGCAACTGGGAGTAAAGTAAACTTGTGTCTTTACCGCGGAAAATCTTAGCCACGAAATTTCCTCCAGTCATTAGCACGTGTGTGGTTATACTAAGTGCAGCTAGCAGCAACTGGCTTTGAATGTATTCGTCGATATCATGTAGACCAGTAACATCAGGTGCGCCATCACAAATAACCAGTTGTGCCTTTTGTGATTCACCACCAAAATGGTCAATTATTGCCTGGGCAGTGCTTAATTTTGTTATATCACCTTGAAGCTGCGTAACTCCAGGCAATGGTGCCATTGCTTGCAAATCTACTGCGATAATTTTGACCTCCTCATTGTTAGTACGATTTTCATAGAGACGTTTGGAAAGCACCTGCGTCCAGCTACCGGGAGCAGCGCACAAGTCTACAGCGCGTGTGACATCTTGTAAACAAAGAAATTCTGTGTAAAAATTATGAAAACGAAACCATTGCAACAATACCTTTCAAAATGTGGAACTTTTCATCGATCTGCAAAAGTTTAAAAGCGCTCCGAGCTCTCCAGCCCTCTTCTTTGGCTAATCGATAGTAAATGTCTCGCTTGTCTTTAGAGGTTTTTCCCATTCTAAAGCTTCACTTCAATTTATTAAATTTTCACTATTTTACTTATTTCTTTTCATACAGTTTTACCTTTTATTTTTTATTGACTATGCATTTTTTAGATTACATACGCCTTTTCCTTTTTCGCAATAAAATAGAACTGGAGAAACATCGATGGAGACGATACATCGACTATTTATACATCAAGTGTAAAATTTTCGATGTATTGAAGCAAAACATCGATATTTTCTATGCATCGATGTTTTTCCGACATCCCTATTTTAAATATCATATCTTGTCAACACGTGCAACGGCCGGAATACAAATATTTTTTATTTTTCGCTTAGATTTAAAAACAAATCGACATGTCTTTAATGCGGATTAGGTAAATACTTCAAGACAGATAATTATGCAAACATTTAAAATTTTATTAATTAGGAAACCGAAAACTCGCAAGGGTAAAAAAATATTGGTGGCGCGGGAGCCGCAGCTTATAGAGTCCACTCGTAATATGCTCTTTGTCGATGGACGCAAATGTGGCGGAGATATAAAATCATGCATGAAGGACCTGCAACAACTGCGCAAGCCTCTGCTAAAAGTGCTAAACCGTAAAAATGACATTACACCTTTTGATGACCCTTCTTCTTTGGAATTGTGAGTCTTTTATGGCCTTTAACAAACCCCTCCTGATATCTTTTTTTTAAGTTTGACTATGAAAAATGATTGTGCTCTTTTTGCATTTGGCTCAACGTCTAAAAAGCGCCCAAATAATTTGGTACTTGGACGCATTTTTGAAAATGAGGTGTTGGATATGATAGAATTGGGTATAAAACATTACACGGCAATGTCGGAGTTCAAAACCGAAAAAATTGGAACAAATGTTAAACCATGTTTAATATTTAATGGGCCACGTTGGAATCAAACTGAGGAATTGCGTCGTTTTCGGAATTTGCTTTTAGATACATTCCATAAGGATAAAGTGGACGCTATTCGTCTCCAGGGAATTGAACATGTTATAAGCTTCACATGTACCGAAGATTTGGCCATTCTGATGCGATCCTATAAGATAATGCTGAAAAAATCCGGCCAAAAGACCCCGCGCATTGAACTAGTAGAAATTGGACCTTCTGCAGATTTTTCGATCCGACGCACAAAAATTGCATCGGAGGATCTGTACAAACAGGCAAGAAAGCAGCCTAAACAATTGCAGCCAAAGAAGAAGAAGAACCTTACTTTCGATGAACTGGGAAATACACATGGTCGTGTGCATTTGGGAAAACAGAATGTGACGAAGATACAAACGCGTCGCGTGAAGGGTTTGAAGAAAACTCCGGAGGAAAAACGAGAGAACAGACAAAAGAAAAAAGAATTGTTAAAAGCAGCCGCTCAAGAGCTATTAAACAATACAGAATAGTATATGTATATAATTTTTATATGCTAGATTTTAATAAAAGTTTTAAAATTGTATTCACATACGTTTAAAAAGTTTTCATTATCGACGAAACGTACATTTCTATTTAATGTATTGCACTAACTATATTGCGTATGCGTCTACTCTTTGATTCATAAAGAGCGTTTTCTAATACTTGTATAATGTACACCAGGCTACTCAAATCTGTCTGCACAAGCAGATCCTTTCGGTTTCGCCGCTCGTCCGGATGAATTGCTTGCTGCTCGCCAACTTCTAGCAAATCTCTGTTTTCATTTTTAGGTTCGGTATGTAGAAATAACTTCATTGTTACGCGTATACTGTTTTGTCTTAAAAGACTGCGTGTTGCTATACGTACCTCCAATCGCCATTCAATATTTACCAACCGATATGCTCGTATATTCGCAGACTTAATGGATCCCTCGATAAAGTGATGTTTGCTGTGCACAAATTGTGTTAGCACTTCTATAATGTTATCATTATAGCCTTCCTCTTGTTGCAATTGTTTTAAGTCAATTTCACTAGCATTAGCCTTAGTAGCATCAATAAGCAAGGCAATAAGTGCTTCAATTGCATGCTGAACTTCTTCTGGATTTGAAACATATTTTGTGGCAAGTTGCTGATAGCGTGGAATGTTGGGGCCGTAACTCAAGTATTCAAAAGCAGACTTGCACAGCTCTACAATATCATCAGGGGACCGCTGGTGCAACAACTGTAAATGCTCACGTTGTTCTTTCTTTAGATTTAATAACATTTTTCTATTTTAGCTTTTAAATTATTTAATTCGTAAATCAGATTCCATCGATATACCTAGGAGTAATTAAAAGTTGATTCCAAATAATTCGTCAACAACTATCGAAATACATAAATAACAACAGCTGACGAATCGTCGCTCAACAAATAAGGCTGTGGTTTCGTTAAGAGCGATTTTTCGTCTGATGGCAGAAAAACGCTTTTTTGACAGATAAGATAAAATTTATGAAAATGCACAGCGCATGCCACATCCATATATTGTTTTAGCTGCTGCGCGAAGCGATAATGGAAAACTCCATGAACGAAAGACACAAGATCACGCGGGAAGGAAAGAAAGAGAAAAGTTATTTTCTAGCTGCCGAAATCTCGACGCCATCTTTGTTAGAGTCGCTTTATTTTGACTCTAAAACTACGGGGCATAAAATTTAATTACACTGCTGATATTCTTGAAACTAAATATATAAAATCCACAGCAATTTTCACCAGTCAAATAGGCATCAGCTTAAAATTGCTAACACGATCGATGCGAAGCCGAAAATTAAGACCAATCCTAAGCTGAAGACCAAAAGAAGTGTCAAATTTTGGTGAATTTGTATGCTGTTAAGTAGCTGTAAGACGTGACAAGTGCAAGTCCTTTACAAAAGTCTCTCAAACTGAAGAATTTCCAAAACAGATTGCAGGAGCAGTTACACTTTGCATGTTAGGTGGCTTTCGAGCTGTTTTTATTTCTGAAAATCAAACTTTCCGATACTATTTTTTGTCTGTTTACACGGTTAATGTCAACAAGTCCACTCCAATATGTTTTTAACAGGCTAAATTATGGGAACGATTTATTCACATGGAATAAGGCTGATTTTGTTGTTTAAAATTTAATTTTTTTTTTATTATTTGATCGCGTTAAAAGTTTATTTATTAATAATCAAAAGTTTTCTTTTCCAACAACAAATCAATTCATAAAACAATAAATTTAACTTCAGGAATTTAAGCAAGTGCAAAAACATACAGTTTAATTACCCTACAGATGGAAATATCCATCAAACACTCCCATGACGTTTTTAATGCCAATGTGCAAAAAATGATGAAAACAAATGTACACATGTGATATTTTATCTTCTTTCAACTTATGGCCTTAACTATAACCTTAACCTTTTTAACCAACGCAAAATTTGCAAATGTGTTAGTAAGATATATGAGAATGTTATACCAGGTTCACATATAAGTCGATTATCCTCATTTTCGAGCTTAACACCCTAATCTGTAATTATAACAAGAGATTAGCCATATAAAATTCGTACCTTGTTAATCTGTAATTATAAAATAATCTCAGATTTAACCGATAACTTTTCGGTGTCCATCCTAGTTTTATCGATTGTTTTTGCGAAAGAGAGGAGAAATGCCAAATGTAAAAGTAAACAAAAATGTACGCTAGCAAGTAAAAGAGGTTTGTAAAGGTATTTTTAATAAAATGTTAAGTTAAAATATATTTATATTGCAAATTAGAGAAGAAAAACGTGATCACGGTGGCACAGAGAAGAAACATAAATTTCCCTTGAGATGTGAGAATAACAAGCACAACAAATTTGACGGCTAATAATCTGAGATTTGCCTGTGTAAACGGGGTGATTAAAAAACGAGCTTTGATTGAGATAATATTGATATGTGAACATAGTTTTAGTTTCCATCACCAAATTCTTATAGGGTAGTGAGTCAAGGCTCCTTTTGTTCTATGCCTTTACGTGTTTGCTGCACTGTGTCCGATAAAACTTTCATCGATTATTGGGAGCGATGTTGTCAATTAACAGCTGTTCTGTTGACAAATGAGAAAAATGTAAACTGTGAAGTTCTCTACGGTAAATAATTTTCTTGTTTATTTATTAATAAATAAAACACTCATACCGTAAATAAATAATGGATTTCGACAGTCCGGATGTGGAAAAAGATTTTCCTGGGCTGTATGCCTCTGAGGGTGGAGATGGAAAATCGAAAAAGAGCAAAGAAGATAGCGATTGTAAGTCGGCATTTTGCAAATTGAAAATAAATTAAATCTGTTTAATAAGAAATTCAAATATGTTTGCAGATAGCGAAAGCGACCATGATAAATTAAGTAAAAAGGACTTGCTTATTGGTAGAAGAAAGGACAAGAAAGATAAAGGCAAAGACCGCGGTTATGCGGCGTTGGAGGGAGAAAGCTCTCCAGAGGAGGATTTGGATGCCAAGTAAGTTTTCTGTCTGTGGAAAAGTATGATATTTTTTAATGTCTCTGTAGAAGTCCATCGAAATCCAAAAAATCAAAGGCATTCAAATTTGCTTCTTCAAAAAGTAAAGAGAAGCGTGAAAAGTCGCGTGATAAGGAAAAGTCGGAGAAGGAGGCACGGGAAGATGAAAAACCGCAGGAAAAGGTAAAGACGGAAAAAGAAAAGGATCATAAGAAGAAAGATAAGGAGCGCAAGGAAAAAGAAAAGAAGGAAAAATCAAAAGATAAAGAAAAGGATAAAGACAAAAAGGACAAGAAGGCAAAACAAGTAAACAATGTATCTGTGGAAGTACTTGAATTGGGCGACGTACAGCCAGTTTTCGGAGTTTCAGTTAGTTTAGCCACGGAACGGAGCCGCTGTCATGACGGTGTTGACCTACCGCTTGTGGTGCGCGATTGTATAGACTACCTTCAAGAGCACGCTCTTAAAAGTGATCAAATCTATAAAGTAGAACCGTTAAAAACACGCATCCAACATTTCAAACGTCTGTATAATAATAGAGAAAGGCAACCAGAAACAGATGAATTGGATATACCAACGGCCTGCGCGCTGTTGAAATTGTTTTTACGGTACATATTACAATGCTTTCATATGTTAAAGTTAAACTGTATCTTGTGTTATTTTTTTTTTACTTGTAATTTTTGTGTTTATTTTAGTGAATTGCCTGAACCGATTTTAACCACGGATTTGATATCACGTTTTGAAGATGCGGCATCAATTAATTCGCAGAGCAAACAACAGGAGGAGCTAAAACAACTACTTGAACTACTTCCCAGCTGCAACCGAACACTGTTATCATGGATTCAACTCCACTTTAACGCGGTTATTCTACATGGTAAACATAATAAACTAACAACCGAATCGTTGGCAATGCTGTTAAGCCCACCCATGCAGATGTCACACCGGCTGTTGGTTGCGCTGTTATCTCAAAGTGAGATCTTGTTTGCTGATATGACTCTTATCAAGTAAGTAAATTAAATAAAACTGAGAAGATCTCGAACATCTTGATAAGATAGAAAAAATCAGTTTTAAAATGTAAAATAAGTTAAGAATAGATTGTTGCTTCAAACAAGCAGTATGTTGTCAAGACGAAAACCGCATCGCCTTTACAGACTCGTCAAAATGATCATAAAGTAGAAAATATGGAATTAAGATAAAATTTTTGTTGACTTATTCTTTCATACAGATATATTCCTCCAATAACAGCATCAAGTCCGAAACTCCCAGAAACTCCGGAAGATATTCAAGTAGAGCTACGCAAACAAGAAAGCTTACTAGCTCAAATTCACGCAGAAATGAATGCTGGTTTCGTTTCCAAAAAACGCGAGGAACAGCTATGGGAAGTGCAACGCATAATTACTCAACTTAAACGCAAATTACGCAGCTTTGAGAAGCGACAAGAAAAGTCAATGGAAGAGTCACAAACAGCCAGCACATGTACACTACCCAATAGCAGTGACACGACTGACTCAAAATCCACCCAACCACTTCAAGGTTGTGATGCACCCCTCGTAAATGGATCGGCCAAAACGCCCATAAAATCCGTGTTTATTAAAGACGAAACTAAAATTAAAACTAATACCAAGTTTACTACTGAGTCACCGGAAACAACTGCAACAAGGAGTTCTTTAACCCACGACAATGTAGATTATGAAGCAACTGACGTATTGCAAAATGAACCACAAAATGTCATCCATTCGGAAGAATCGCAACTTGCAGTAGATGGTACACATCCTGATGGATTTTACATTGATGAAGATTCTTCCTTCCTAATGGTACCTAAGACACATCCTGAATATTCTGAACTAATTAGATTGCAATTAGAAAGTCAGGAGTTACTTGCTTGGAAGAATCAATTACAGGCGCGTATTACTGCAGAAAGAGCGGAAGTATTAAGGCTAAAACAACAACATCAACAGCTATTGGCTGCAAATTGTGCAAATGTAGCCTCAGACGATGCTGCGGCTGGTGGCGATGGTGATTACGAAAAAATAATAGAGCACTATATACGCGAGAACACCTTATTGGAACACAAAAAGCAAATGCTTGTCCAAGAGATATTCGACGAGAGGCGCGAATGCATTGCAATGCAAGTGGAATTGGCGCTGCAAAAATTTAAAATTTAACGAACAAATACATAGGTCTAAATATGTACATATGTTTAGGCGCGTACCGCCATAAACATCTATGTATGCAAAAAAAGTTTTTATATTTTTTAGGTACAAATCCCTTTCTTGCTGGAAGATATTCATAACTCAACAAAACAAAAAACGGCTTTAAAGCTTTTGGTCAATGTTTTCCTATTACTTTCCTGCTATATTTGCTAACCAAAGTGAAAATGAGTAAAGCTGCACAATTGACCCTAATTTTGACACAACATAAAAGAAAAGCCATTTTAGATTATGACAATCTTCCAGGAAACGAGCGATATATACACACATACAGTCAGTGTCAAATGTATGTAAGTGTACACCTTGTTCCAACTATTTTCATGAAAATTTTTTTCATGTTTCAACCATTAATTTTGTAGAATTTTTTTGTCTATTTTTGTATGGAAGAAAATGCGCAACACCCTCCACAAAAAAAAAATCTAAAAAGACAACGGTAATTCCGAGCGACTTTGAACTTGCACTTTGTTTTACTAAAATTGAACGGGCTACAAAACTGCATACTCTAAAATTTTCTAGAAATTCTGAATGAAAATTTTGAAATTTTGATGAACGTTTTTCGAACGTTTTTTTTGAACTTTATACAAAGTGTGAAACTTTGATTTATATGGTTTATGTTAAATAATAATCTATATTTTCATAAATAATTAATGAAAAAAAATTTTCATTAAAATAATTGGGAATATTATATTATAACAACGTATTCACTTATATTACTCAGTGAATTGTATGTATATAGCACAGTTCAAAAGTATTTATAAATATGTTTTCTGCTTTTAAAATATCTGAACATCTTTAGATTAAGAAATTATCAGATTGTCAATAGTTTGTACAAAACAATTGATTATATTTTATTGATCAAAAACAAAAAAATATTGAGATTATTTTAACTACCCAGTGCATATGTAGCAATGTAAGTAAATCTACTTAATTAATAAAATTACACGCTTGAAAAAAGATCCAATTTTCCAATTACTCGGCTTATTAAACAAAAAGCGAATTAATTCTTTTTTAAAATACTTTAAAATTCAAAACAAAAAGTTCTAATTAGTAGTTCCCTAGTAGTAGAGGCATTAAAGTGCCACCAACTTCAAGCAGGCGAAGGCATTGTACGTGAACGTCAAATCGTAGCACATACACAAATGTACATGCAGAACGTACATGTTTTGATTGCGCAGCCGCTGGCATGCGGTTATCACACGCGTCGCTGTCGCATATGTCAAATTGATCTGTTCCTCTGCTTCCGTGTACATGGGGTGTCGTTGTTATTGTTGTGAATTCGTCGACTTCGCTGCTTTGTAGCTCGCAATTTTTTTTAGGCAAGAATCAGCAGCCATCGAAGCAGGAAGAGGTTACAGCGAGTGCACTTAATTTTGTAAAGTAAAAAAATAGCAAAATGTTGAAGCAAGTAACCAAACAATTGGCTATCCAATCCGTGAGGAATTTCGCTACCACAAAGCAGGTGATTATCAATTATTTATTGCAAAGAGTTTAGTAAAACAGCTCAGTTCGAATATGCCGTGAAGTGACGAGTGCATGCAGTTTACGTAATCATCAGTAAAGTAATAATTTAGGAAAATGTTAATAAAATAATACGAAAAATCTGAGTGAATGAAATCTTCTCCAAATATGATGCCGTATTTGCAATGGCAAATGTTAAAATATGTTGAATTTATATTTTAGAACAACTTCAAGGTCACAGTATGCGGTGCCTCTGGTGGTATTGGACAGCCCCTTTCGCTGTTATTGAAGAACAACCCATTGGTTACGAACCTGTCACTGTATGATATCGTGCACACACCCGGCGTTGCTGCCGATTTGTCGCACATTGACACCCAAAGTACCACTGAGGGACACGTCGGACCAGAGCAATTGGGCAAAGCTCTAAAAAGTAAGTTTATCATCTTGAATTGTATTTCATCATAATTACAACAAAAGAGGAGGTTTTCTGCGCGATGGCCTTCGATTTAAATGAAACTTTGCACGTATGCTACTTTCATAGCAAAGCCATAATTTCAGGAGCTACCCAGTAGATAACTTCAGGAGTTAAAAGCCGTTCAGAAAGGCCTTACTGAGACCCAAGAGGCCTTCTACTCTACATTCCTTTCTCCTTTTTTGTATGGAGTGGCACAAATTGAAGGGCTTCTTCTTTCGCTACCCATGAGAAGCCTTCCAGATGGGCTTTTATAGGACGTACTCCAGAGGGCCTTTTGGAGGAGTTCTTTTAAAGTGGCTTTTATATATAAAAATCATACATCTTTGAAGCATTTGCTAAGGTTTATATCAAATTTGTGTTATTGCAACATAAATGTTTATTGAAATTCATTTGTAATGCTAAATAATTTAAATTTTTGCATTCGCTTACATTGTAAATGGATAAGCCCTTCTAGAAGGCATGCAAGGAAGCACTTTTTTCTGCGTTTCTTGTGTAGGCCTCTTTGAATAGCTTTACTTAAGAAGGCCTACCTAAATTATCTTCTGGGTAAGAGACTTTCGGAAAGCATTCTTGACAGTAAAGATGCCTTCCGCTCTGCATTCCTTTTTCCTTTCCTTTTTGCATGGAGTGACACAGATTGAAGGTCTGCTTTCACAGCCGACAAACGAATATAAAATTCACTATGGGTAAAGAAAACGTAGGAAAAATAAACTATTTGGACATAACAATTAATCCTTTCCGGTCAAATCTGTCCCTGATGAATATAAAAATTTTTTCCTCTTAATTGCAAGGTCCATAGAGCCTCATAATACAAAAAGTAAAAAAAAATATATATATTCAAAAGTTGTTTTGGGTAGCTATTAGGGCTACCTCAAATTTGTGCAATATATTGTACAAAAGTCCGCAAACGAGTAAAAGCACTCAAGAAAACTCAATAAATATTTCACTAAGTTTGACGGAATAAAACTTTTATTTCAATGAAAATGAACTTATGTATGTACAAAATAATTGTTTTTACTGCAGATATGTTGGAATGAATATTTTATATCTTTTTAAGTATGTTTAGTTAAGATTTGCATTACAAAATTTTTAATTTTCTCCATGCGAAAAGAATTATAAAAAGAAATTTTGAAAAATTTCAGATACAATTATAATATACCATACAAATGACCGTTTTAATAAACCTTCGCGGTTTTTCTGCCTTCAGTAGATCAAGAAATCAAAAACCTACCCTTTACTGGAACAACAGCGCACAAGCTCTTCAAAAACAACGGCAAAAACCACCCTAATTGCCTGTTAAACAGCAAACTCTGCGGACGTTTTTACAAGACACTTAAAAAAAAAAACTTTGGAAACTTTCATACTGTCAGAAGTTATGCTACTTTTTCTCCTGATGTTCCGCATACACGACTACGTGGCAGCACCTAATTGCACGCTTCTTACAGCATAATACCGTTATATGCGAATGTGGCATGTGAATTCGTGAATAGTACATATCGCACACGATCTTCAAAAGTGACACAATTCAAAATTTGGCAATTCAAACTTTATCGATTTTGATTTTGAGGGTTGCGGTTACCATGTACGCACTGTAAATGTTTTTCATCGGATAAACAGAATTTAAGTTAAGAACAATTAAAAGGTTAAAGCTATGAAAAGCGCGTTTTGAAAAAAATTGGTTTCGAAATTTTTTTTGTATAGGAGCCCCTTCCCTAAATTTCATCCTGGCTACGCACATGCGAACAGCTGATCGGAATTTTGTTTACACACAAAAGCATAAATAAAAATAAAAAAAAAAAACACGAAAAGAATATAAATTAAGATTCGCTAAAGGGTGCGTTCAGAAATGCATCGAGCCAAAGCATCAGACGCTTTTATTTCTAAACTATAAATGATGCAAATGTCCAATATACGCAACCACGGTTAAATGCCTAATTGGAACGTAATTGCGTAAATAAGATATTTTCATCAGTTGTAGTTTAGAAGTAAAAGAGACTGATGCTTTGGCTTGATGCATTTCGGAACGCACCCAAAGCTGCATTTATATGCATCGATTTCTGTCGACTGGAAAATTGAATGAGAAATCGACTAGCCCAAGCATTTACATTTTACGGTTGTACGCCAAAAATCGACTAGAAAATCGAAATATTGAAGAATTGATAGAATTTATGCCTACTTAGCTAAATTTTTGTATTTTTATTTTTATTTTTTGGATTATGACACCTGCAGCAAATGTGCGATTTGTATATGCATATGCAAGGATGATCTACCCCTTATCTATATGTTAAAGATCATGCGCTTCTGACGTAACGAAAATAAAAACAACTTATGAATCACAAGTGCATAATGGAATCTTATCAGCATGGAAAAATTACAAAAGCTATGAGTTATTAAAATATTATTTGCATCAACAGCTATTTGTTCGTATAATTGTGTTTAGGCAATGTTCCTCTGAAGTGTATTAAATTAAAATTTTTAATTTTTGTAAATGTTATTGTGGCTTGTTAGCATTTTATTTTTTTAATATTTTTATTGAGCTTTGTACCACGATTGTTTATTAGGAAAAATTGAAAAAGCAACAAAGTCTAAGCGGTAGAAGTTATAGCACTATTTCGGAGATCACCACATCTCCTCATCAGACTTCATTTTTTTCCCCTGCTCAAGTCTAGAAATATATAATATGTATGTTAAAGCTTAAACAGACGGCAGCATTGATCCGGATTAACTCGGACTTAGTGGTTTGTATTAGAGCAGTAATAAATCCGTCTGGTCATTAATACTTAGTTTGTAATTTTTCGCGTAATAAATAAAGGGAAATAAAAGGAAAAGTATACAAACAAGCTTTCAAAGAGTACATTTGAGGGAACTAAGAATACTTGAAAATTGCATTCGTGAAAGTACGAAGACTTAATCACCTTGCATTTTGCTTAAAGTGAATTGTTCTCACTATTTTCTATGGCTAACTTATAAAGCATACCGGTTTCTTACGTTTCCATCGCTATTTGGATTTTATTTAACACTTAAACACAAAATAGTGCAAAATTCGAATTGGCTTAATTTACACGCACTTTTCACATCAAATGAATTTTTTCACATTTGTTGACTTTGAAGAGGCGAAAGTACCGTTTCATGTGTCAAATGCGTATAAATGTTCAATCACCATAAAATGTCACACTATTTTCTTTAAAAAAGCATTACAGAAATCCGTTTTTGAAAAATAAACATTTTTGACTTTTGTCTATGGGGCAGTCCACTGTGCATTGTTCGAATTCTTCTAAGTAGCAGGTCATACCACTTATTAATTCTTTAAACACAAGTTTCTTTTAGATTAAGTTTGAATGGATTACACTGGTCTACAAGGGTTTTGCGAATAAGACGGGACCTGGTGTTTCCGAACGGATTTTTCGTGCTGAACACGAATCTGGGGTCCAAAACTTCCCATCACGTCACGTTTTCGAGAAAAAAGGGGTTGAAACCCCTAAAAACAGCGTTTTTGGCCATTTTTGAAAAATTGTAGAGCTGAACCCTGACGTGCTACAAACTTTGTATATGTCAGAAATTAAAGGCTAAATCGTGCCCTTTCGAATGAGCCCTATGCCGAATTAATCGCATGCACCCTTAGATCAGGGGGTGTATTTGTGTCTAGGAGTCCAATTTTTATATCCACCATATTCGACCCGTCATCTTAAATTTTTAAAATCTAACTGCAGATTCGTAATCAGCGACTTTTAATATAGTTAAAACCTTGGCATTATTAATTTTCTATGATCGTTTAAGATTAAATTCTTTCTGTGATCAATTTTTCCTGCACCCCTAAACACAAATACACCCCCTGCTTTAAGGGTGCACGCGATCAATTCGGCATAGGGCTCATTCGAAAGGGCACGGTTTAGCCTTTAATTTCTGATATATGCAAAATTTGTACCACGTCAGGGTTCAGCTCTATAATTTTTCGAAAATGGCCAAAAACGCTGTTTTTAGGGGTTTCAACCCCTTTTTTCTCGAAAACGTGACGTGATGGGACATTTTTGACCCCGGATTCGTGTTCAGCACGAAAAATCCGTTCAGAAACACCAGGTCCCGTCTTATTCGCAGAAAAAAAGTTGAAATTTGTAGACCAGTGTTATTGATATTTATTGAAAAAAAAGTAGCTGCTAATTTGGAATCTTGTGGAACTCCCGTTTGCACTGGTCTATTTGAACTTCTTCTATTATTTATTTCACCATATTTTTCCCTATTTGTTAAGAAACTTTCAAAGATTTGCAATTCGTTTCCACTTATTCTCAATTCTGCAAGTAATATTACCAAATCATTGTTGAAAATATCAACTAAGGCATTTTTAATATTAACTAAAAATCACGTTGATTCCTTTTCAAGTTTGAAATTGGTAATATTAAATAATTTTTCAGTTGACGTTTCTCTCAGTGTAAACAAGGACAAAAGCATGCCCTTTTACAGTGTTGAGTGTAACACAAAACACATTTTTCACCGTGGAAGGGCAACATTTTTTTGTTTTTTGAGGAAACTTTGCTCTTTCAGTTACAAACGAAAGCAGTTTCGCTCTCTTAACTTTACCACAAGTCTCTGAATACAAGAATTGCATTCAAAAGAATTAAACTTCATGCAGAAAATTGTCAGATGACCAATTTTCAACTCTATTTAGACTGTACTAAAAAGCAAAATGACTTAAGTTCATATTTTATTTTATTTTATTTCTAAAGATGCTGATGTTGTTGTAATTCCTGCTGGTGTACCACGTAAGCCTGGCATGACCCGTGATGACCTGTTCAACGTGAATGCTGGTATTATTCGCGACATTGCCAATGAAATTTCTAAGAGCTGCCCCAAGGCCCTGGTGGCCATCATCACCAACCCTGTTAACACCTGCGTTCCAATTGCTGCTGAAATTCTCAAGAAGGTAGTATTGTCTACTACTGTATTTATCAGTTGTATTAATACTTACATACATATATGTACATATGTACATTAGGGTGCCCATCGAAAATGTTTTTTTTTTTGGAAATTTCAAGACTCTACCCCCTAATTTTATTCGTTTTTATGAGAAATATTATTGCCTATTTTTATAAATTTTTTAAGGGTCATTTAGAGGTCGCGACCTGTCGATTTAGGTCAGAAAATACGATTTTGTAGATTTATGAGTTTTTGAATGACTATTTTTTATTCGCTTTCAAAGATCGAATATGATCTGAGAAGCGGATATATAGGCCTTTAAAATGGTATATGATAAATTAAAAAGGACCCATAAATTCTACAATTTTTATGCAATTGCAATAAATGCGGTATAAGTTTATTTGAAAATAGATTTAATTTTAGATAGTACTCCATATTTTGAAATTGTAGAAATTATCGATGGTAAAAATTAAAAAAATTAAACGAAATATGGGTATTTTTTTAATTTACCCGATAAAAAATCCCAACGAGCCTAGTCCGACCTTATATTATTACATATATATGTATATAAAAACAGTCATTCAAAAACTCATAAATCTACAAAATCGTATTTTCTGACCTAAATCGACAGGTCGCGACCTCTAAATGACCTTTAAAAGATCTATAAACAAGCAATAATATATCGATGGGCACCCTAATGTACATACAAATATGCAAATTTACACTACATTATGCCTAAATTTTCATCTTTTTTGCTGTTACCAACTAATAACCGATTACATTAATACAGGCCGGTGTCTACGACCCCAAACGCCTATTTGGCGTCTCAACTTTGGATGTGGTCCGCGCACGTGCCTTCATTGGTGCCGCTTTGGGTGTTGATCCCCAGCAAGTTGATATACCCGTTATCGGTGGACATTCCGGTGTTACAATTCTGCCCATCATCTCACAATGCCAGCCTAAATTCAAAGGTGATCAGGCCACCATTGAAAAGTTGACCGTACGCATCCAGGAAGCCGGTACTGAGGTGGTGAAAGCCAAAGCTGGCGCTGGTTCGGCTACTTTGTCTATGGCATATGCTGGTGCACGCTTCGCTGGTTCTTTGCTGAAAGGTTTGAACGGTGAGAAGGGCGTCGTCGAGTGCTCGTATGTGCAATCCACTGTCACCGAAGCGACATTTTTCTCTACCCCACTCATTTTGGGAAAGACTGGTTTACAGGAAAACTTGGGTCTGCCCAGATTGAATGATTACGAGAAGAAATTGTTGGCCGCTGCACTGCCTGAGCTTAAGAAGAACATCCAAAAGGGCGTTGAATTCGCCAATGCATAAGCTACATAAGCTTATATCTGCACTCTGCCAGCGCTCATCCCCGGAAAATAAACATCTAAGGAAATAGGGTATTTTTTTATGGACTATTTACTTCCTTTACTAGAATTGATACTGGAAAATGCTCTTAAAAAAAAGTAGCAAAAAAGGTAACAGCTACGCTACATATGTGTCTAAAATAAAAAACAAAGCCAGAAATTATTGTAACGACACTAATAAATTGTTAAGATAAAATGTTATGTAGTTGTTGTATAGGAATGATTAAATGACCAACACCTAAAAACAAAAAGCAAATAGTATCATGTATCGAAATCCAAACACTGTAACTAATGGAGAAATAATAAATGAACCTAAAAAAAAACACAAAAATTTAAAAAAAATGCATATATGTATTATGTATTTGCGAAGTTTTTGGAATATTCTTGGATACTCATATGCATGTATGTAGGTAAGATCTCGATATTTAGTTCAGTTTCATCCGAAATACGTTGCCCTTCAAAAGAAAAACATGAATAAATTTCGTCTCGTTGCAAGTTAGATACTCGCTTTTTATTGCAAATATATTTTTTACCAAAACGCGATCTTAAAAGTCCTCAATATTTTAAACATTTTTAATAGCTTTTATGTACATAACATTTATGCTAATATAAAAAATAACAAGTAATTTTTAAGCATAAAACACAACCGACTTCAATTCTCATATACAAGCTTTGGAGTACCGTTAATTTTTTCATGATCCAATGATCGGATCTTAACCAAATTAATATGGGACCACGTCGGCGACACTACCTTTCTGATAGAAAAAGAATAATCGAAATTCGACGAATTGATAACCTTCTTTTTTTGAAGTCGGTTAAAAATGGGCAGAAAATATCATTTATATTTAACTATTTGAAAATTTGCAAAATCGTTGTTACTAATCGCGAGAAAATAAATCCAAACAATTTCGAAAAAAGTTAATCTGCCTTATCCTGAGTTTCGGATGACAAAATTTCGGGTGATTTTTCTTCAGGTGAAACTCAGGATAAGGCAGAATATGAATTTCAAAAAATTATAAAATGTGTATTTTTATCATTGAGAACCAGAAGCAATTAGTTCCACAAAACAAGCTCGAAATGTTGTTTCACTTCAGAGATTTTCAGCTATAACTTCGATAATAATCAGCCATATCATAAGTTTAATTTTCCCCGAACCTGTTCACTTTTCACTTTTGGTTTCCTTGGTTTTACCATGGGCGGATGACAAATTTTCGGGTGAATTTTTTTCAGGCGAAACTAAGGACAAGGCACTTTGACTATACATACTGAGGATCCACTTGAACTCATAATTTATGGTGATTTCGTTTCTGCCACGGTGCAAAATGTGTTTGATGTTACACTCAACGCTGTAAAAGGGCATAGTTTTACCTTTTTTTTCAATTGGTACGAGGGTTGCAAATACAATTATAAATAAAATGTCACAAGTCCCCATCGATCTCACGCCTACAAAATAATTTATTCAAGGTCAAAGGTCACATCAAATGGTAAGGTTTATCACAAAAATAGGTGAGACAAAAGTGTAGATTATGCAATTATCTATAAAAACTTGTACATATAACATTTTTCTTCATAACAATTACCATTTCTGAGCCAAAAAAATTTTGTTCTCCATAATATGCACAATTTCCATTGTACTTGTGGGGTAGTGTTTTTCATTCATCGACAATTTTGCATAATTAAAATTTTTTTTTTAAGTTACTTTCGGTAAAAATATCAATATGAAAGAATCTGTTAACTTTTGGATGCTTGCACGTCAAAGCATGATCTTTCACAAATACAAAAAGGCACTGCTCGTCTAAATTGAATAATAAATGTAAAATTTACAAGTCTCACATTAAAATGATTTATTTCATATCGCTGCTGCTTCTTTTATGGTTTCCCTTAGAATATTCACTCTTTTCATCAAATATAATTCAAAATTATTTTGCAAATCGAGTCGATTTCAAAGTTTCGAATTTCAGAACATGCCCGACTGTCATTTAGTTGGCACCTCGGTTCCTGCTGAGTGCCTCTTTTCAAAAGCTAAAATACACGTAAACGTTGATTTTTCTCTTAAAAATTCCACAGCTCGGAGAAATTTTGTAGTACGATCTTGGTCAATGATGGGGTTTTTGTTCAGAATTGAATGCTCTATAAAAGTGTCCATTGCGGCGTAACCCTACCTCCCACCAACGAGGTAGTACGGGTCACTGCACCCAAATTTTCCATGAAATTCTCGTTTTTTTTTTTGCCCTTATCTAGTAAATAGCAAGAACTACAGAAAAAGTGTAAATGACAAAATTGTAGGACATTCAAATTCCTACAAATTTCTAACATCGATATTTCTTGAGGTATTAGGCTTCGAAGTTGATCCACAATTTCTACAATTTAGCTCAGTAATCCATGAAAATTCCACAAAATTGGGTTTAGTGACCCGTACTACATACCTCGCTGGTGGGATTATTAATATTAAGAGCTCAAATTTTCATGGATTTTTTTTAATGTATTTCCCACAAAAATTCGAGGTGAGAGTGAATAAAAGACAAAGTCGCCAAAAAACATCCTAATATGTATGTACATGCAATCATTTAAAAAGCTAAGCCGCTCGGTACAAGATGACCCCATAACGAGTACGCCTTCCTGCCTTACCTACATAAATGAAAGCTGAAAGTTGCTGCAACCTCAGTCCGAATCTCCACGGGTCATCTAGTATCTAAATAGCTGCTACCTTACATCTCACCCCGAATACCTGTTGGAAATTTCCATATCGTCAGCACTAATGCAAGGGGGATTATAGTCACTTTTTCCAAAAGACCAATATATGTACATACATATATATATATGTATGTATTTGAAATAATATTACAGCGTTGGTAACAATAAGTTACAGATAAATAAATGTTAATTTTTAAACCTCTTTCGCATTCTTGACACTCTTGTAAAAGGTAAATTTTGTTACCATTCATAAGCTGGCATACTTACATGAATTGATGAATATTTTGACTGCATTATCTATGAAACTTAAATCTCGGTAACAAGAAGTGGTAACATTTCTCTGCAATAAAATTTTCCGGTTATAAAATCATTGGTAACGTGCAGAAAAGGCCTGTTATTAGCATGTTTAAAAATGATCAGTAAGCATTTTAAACGTAATTTTAACAATTTTCTGCTTCTCCTATAAAATCTTAAATTTTTCGAATGCGCTCTATCGGTGACGGTGTATTCCTGCAACAGGTCGTCATATATTCCCACTTGAAGCCTTTTGAAGGCGGTATTAAAACGTTCGGCGAGTAACAGGTCTTCTTTGTTCGTATGATCCGCACGAATATAAGAGGGAAGAGTGGTAAATTTTAGACATAAGATTCCCCGTAAACCATTTTCTGCCTCCATCCATGGTTATTTAGGTGCCTACTTTAGCTATGGATGATGTTTTTGTGCCATGTTACAAATACTTACATACATATGTAGGTACATATGTATGGTTTCGGTCATCAGATCTTACACAGTCAAAAATGTGTGCACGAAAGTACAAACAACAATTTATATATTGATGTTTATAACTTTAATTGAACACTAATATACATAAAATAAAATCAGTTCTTACCTTTGAGGTACCACCTTTACGATAAAAAAAAAAAACAAACGAATTATCGAAAACGGGTTTCGTGGTCCAAAGTTATCCGGGTATATACATAAAGTAAAATATTCCGACGAATTGATAGCCTCATCCTTTTTGTTTCATGTCGTTTAAAAAGCAGAATGCACCTGGGCCACAATGCGGAAGTCAAACTTCTTTCGATTCATTTCTATTTCGTTACAAAGCAGAATTTTTCGAACGAAAAATGACACGGAAGATGGTCAAACTTGGCAAGGGATGACGAAAATTCGTTCCAAAATAAGTCGTCTTACCTGTATAACAAATTAGGAAAAAAGTGTACATAGATAGATTTTATTGTATCCGCAACATGTAACCCTGTAAACATTTAAGAGTCTCAGAATTCTGGGTTGTTACCCTTATTATGAGCCCAAAAGAGTCAGAACAGATCATATTTCCCTTCTTAGATAATCACGCCAATATGAGTCCAAGTTAGGAGTCATATTGGGTTCTGAAAAATTACGCTTTTCTGAATTCATATAAGGTGATAGCGGCAGGCGAAAACAAAAAAAAAATGGTTCGCCTTGAAATATTCTTTATAATTCTGATTATTTATAAACTTTTACTTGAACTTTTTTGTTCAACAAAGAGACACCAAGAGAGTACGAAAAGAGTCAGTCGGTTGACTGGTCTCAGAATCATATTTATGACAAAAGAAACACTAATTTTAGACTCAGAAATTCAGAGCAGGGCTCTTATTAAGGTCTTGAGAAAATTGGGCCAATTTGAGTTAATAATGCAGTTATGCCAATATAATCGAATTTTTTGGTTATCTCCTTTAGCTTACGAGATATTGAGTCGAATTTTGTCGTTTATTTATGCAAATTTATATCACACTTTGCCGTATGCAAAATTGTTGCCAAATATAACATTCGACAAAATAGATTAAGAAATTCATGAGCTACATAGTAGCATTTTCTGAGGCTTTGGAGAAATTCTATAATTGCGTTTTTTTGAGAAATTTAATTCCAAATTTTAATCGAGATTTCCCCAAATTTAGCGTATGGCAATGTAGCGTATGGCATTAATTTATTAATTATTAATTAATTATGTTATGTTGATATTCTCCAAATTGAGAAATATCATAAAGTCTGGTTAACGGTTTAAACGGCTTTAAAGTTTTGACTGATTGGTAGGTATTCCTTGGAATCCCATCACATAACTTAGAAATGTTACTATAAAATAGATAAATGAGTGGAATTTTATATTCATTTAAGGAAATTCAATGAAAAAAAATAAAACTTAGTTTTTGAAACTTGAATCTCGCATACAAATAAGCTTATTTTAATTTTAATATTGCTATAGAGCTTTGTACCAAGATTATGTTAATTAGGAAAAATAAAAAAAAAGCAACAAAGTGGTAGAAGTTATATGTAGCTGTTATTTCGGAGATCACTACATCTCCTCATCAGACTTCTTTTTCTAGACTTCAAGCCTATTGTAATTTTCAACCGTAAATAATTTGATTTTCCATACAAAATTTACGGGTTTTGATGAATTGCCTTTATATGATTTTTCGATTTTCTTGAAAGCTCTTAAAAGTTTAACTGCGAATAAAAACATTGTGCTAAAAATATGGAATGCCTTCACTGTTGTTTTTTTTACACTTAACAGCTTTTTTTTTGTACTTAACGAGGATTCGAAGATTTAATTTGTCAATTTCGAATTCGATCCACTGAAATGAGCTAC